TTATGTTAACAACATGCTCAGTAAAAGTAAAACTCCAATTTTTTTTTTAAATTTCTAAGTTTATTGTGACTTTAATAAATATAATGTGTTTCTCTTTCTTCTAACATACCTATTTAGAATAACATAAGAAAATTTCTTGGATTATTACTTACTCTTGAAGGCATTAAGATGAACTTAGATACATTCAAGAAAATTATAGATATGCCAACTCTAAAGAAGCCTAAAAATCCGTCATTAGCAAGATGTAGGTCTTGATCAACCTTCAAAATTTTAAGAAGTTCAGATGTATTTAACAATATGATAAAGTGTTTACTAAATCAGAACACTTCTCTTCATTGCCCCTTCATATTAGTTCACAACCTATTGACGTTGTTCAAATCTATTTGGTATCCAAACCATAAACCATCTCATAATACATAATGTTATTCTTAATTATGAAGGAAACCAATTTCATATCCACTGTTGCAAAGTCATCATGGCTCTTGATTAAAGCAACAATCATTTTTTAGGAGGAGTTTGAGAATGAGAATATAGAAGTTGAAAGAAAATGAAAGATATAAAATGCATAAAAGAAACTCTTCAACCCTAAATATAATACATATTGAATGGTATTTTGTCTATTGGATGATGTCAGACAATATTTCAAGATATATATAAATTGAGAACCTATAGGTGAAGATGATGATGTAATAATATAAGAGAAAGAGAGAGAGATATAAAGTGGATCTAGACAAAATTTATATTATCTAGGCTAGATGTACAAAAATAATAGAAGTGAGGGTTCTATGCTGTAGAGCTTGAGCTATGAATGAGAAAATGACGTAATATCTTTATTTTCTTTTGCCCTTTTCCACCATTTTTTTTTCTTGTGCCTCCTCTATTTATAGGGCTTGGAGATTCAGAATGGATATCTATGGGAGACCGTAGCTGCCACATCAATCTTTAATGTAGCCCATTCATCTGTGCCATGCAAAGTGGGAATCATCGTAAGAGAGGATGCATGTAGGATGAAATCATTCATCGAGTCGCTATCTGAAGGAAACCAATTAGAGGTCACCCTAGTGAGGTAAGAGGGGATGAATAGCATATTGAAGTTGTCCAAATATTATGTCGGCATAGAGTTGGGAGCTAGTCTGAGGTCACCCCATTGGGGTAAGAGATGTCTCATGTTGGTGATATACAATATTAGCTTGATTATTGATGTGTCTTGTATGTGAGACTTGACTTTAAATTGGTAGGGATGAATAAAGATTTTTCTAACTGAGAGTGGAATTTCTTAGGTCTCGCTCATTGGGGAGGGAGATTGCCTTGAAGATGTGGCCAAAACTAGTTTGTTAGGCTCTAGTTTTAAGCTAGAGAAGAGGATTCTCCTTCAGCTTGACCTAAATGTAACATGTAAGAACTTGCAAATGATTACCTATACATGTAGTTATTGGTGTACATTTAGTTCTCTTATTGTTCTACCCTTTGGACCTTGGATGTCAAAAAGCTTAGATAAATAAAAAAATCGGAGAAGAGAGCATGAGTAAATGCAAATTTCTAAGAGAAGTAGTGGCTTCACTAAATGATTATATGGTAGCCATATGGGGTCACATAAACTCAATAGAATCTGATGGAGCTTGATGCTTAGTTAGGCCAAGCAATGAAGTTTCACCAAGGTGCTCAATGCATAGTTGTTTGCATGCGAGTGGGCAAGGTGATAAAATTTTAATTGAGATTTTTTGGGAAAATTTAATGTAAACTTTTGAATTTGAACTTCATAATCAAAAGCAACATTATGAAAGTTATACTATCCCGAAGGGTTAAAAAGGGATTTTATTCTCTAATAGATTCATATTATGAAATCATAAATTATACCCAGACTACTTTTGTTAAATTTAAGAAGGAATTACATGTGACCCGACATATCAAATTATTATTCAATATTTGACTATAATAGTTAGGATAGTTTATCATCAATTAACATAATCAGATCATCATAGTGAACTACATATATGGCTCTATATAGTCAAAATGATGTTCAATTACATATCTAACTACAATAACTTAGATATATTATCATTAATTTCATATTCAAATGTCCCAATAAGAAATGATTTATCTCTCCTAGGAATGAAAATTCAAGTTGTTATTAAGTACTAGAATATGGCGACAAAGATTGTCTTTGATTTTAACTTTCCAAAAAGAATAATTTTCCCTCATCCTATTTAGTATCTAAAATAGAATGGGGTTTATTTTATCTAGGTTTTAACTTTCCCACAAAGGCAAGTCTTTATGGTTAATTACATCATATGAAGAATAGGCTTCCTACAAATATTCTCAATTAGAATAATGATAAACATTTTATTTAAATTTTTTAAGGAGTGATATCACTACAGAAAAATCATCTATTACCGGTGGCATTTTTGGGCGGTAATTGATTTTTTTCGGCACTTTTAGAATTTACCTGTGGCAAATTTTTTGCCGGTAAAACCCGTAAAGGAAAAATATTTTCTGTGGTATTTTCCGGCTACAAATATTTTTGGCAAATTTCCTGCGAAAAAAGGCTGCCGAAAAAATAAAAAAAATTAATTAAAAAATGAAGCTACCTGGCTGCCCAGCCACACGCCCACGATGCCCGCCCTCTTGAGCTTTCGTGTTGCCTGCACGAGCTCCCACGTTGCCCTCTTGAGCTTCCGTGTTGCCTGCCCGAGCTCCCGCGCTGCCTGCCCGACTGTGCGACTTTCCCCGGATTCGAATTAAGTCCAAACTTTTTTTAAGTCCCAACCATTTTGTTGGAAGAGAAATACATTAAAATGTTTATTATTATATATTTAAACTATAAGTATATTAAAATAATAAATTAAAATTACTTAAAATGAAATATTAAAGTTAAAATATATGATTTTTCAAAAAACATTACAAGCCGCCAGAAACAGAACTGACAGAAAGCCACGAGAAAGCCGCCGAAAAATAATTTGTTGGAAAAATGTGTCGGTAATGAACGATTTTTACGTAGTGTATGAAAGGAGGGATATTAGAATTTTTAAATGGTCAAGTTTGATTTCGTTTGCTAATTTAGATTAACCCAATTGATTTGTTAAATAATTTATAAGCTAGTTATTTAAGTTAAATGGCAATTATTTTTGTTTACACTAGGGTCATGAGGTTTATTTCAGTCACCTTGGGGATAACTTAATAGTCTTGAAGACCTAGATTACCAAGTAATTAACTGATGTTAGGATTAAACTTATTATATTTTAATTATTGATTAGCTTGTTTTAATTAATTAAGTTTATTGATTCGTTTTTCATGCTTATTATTGAGAAAACCAAATATGTTATGGTTTACTACATTCATAACTTTCCAAATCAAAAAGGCATAGTTAATAGATTAACCTTTAATCCAAATGTATTTGAACCAAGAAACTTTGGACAAATCATGGTAACTATTGTAATAGATATCTTTATTAGAGAAGAAAGTTCTTTCCAACAAAAAACATGGATGTTTATTGTCATGGATATTAACTTTGCAGATTTCATTGGAAATGTGATTGTGAATATCAAGAGGGAGAATCCAATCCCCATTATCAATAAAATTAGATACTATAATAGTTAAGGAGAAATGAAATTCTTCAATAATAGTAATACCAAATTTCACAAGAGAGGAAGTGCCCAGAATTCTGGGTAATCCTTAAATCAATCATTTCTCTCATTTTGTAGCAGGCGTTATGCAAAAGTTTTCAAAAGTTCCTTAAATTTATCCTTGCTAAGATAAATCCATATAAGCTTCCGTTCGTTTGGGTACATCAAGGCAAATGTCAAGCTAGAAGTTGGACAAGAAGGCTATAGATAGTAATAGTAATATATATCTGACCTAGAAAAAATTATAAAAAAAAAACAAAATTATAATTAAATCTTCTCCTCAAAAAGTGATTAGGTGTGACTCAAATTTCTCATTAATATAGGAGTGTCAAAATGAATTTTTGGGTTGAGTTCGGATCAAACTCGAAATTGACCCGCTCTAAATATAACTGACCAGAACACGACCCATTAATTTATCTAAAAATGTTAAAATCTCAGGCCCAAAATCACCACGCTACCAATCTTGCTCAACCTGTTGACCCGAAATAAAATATTTGAACTTCACCTTCATTAATGAAGACGGGTATAATGAGTGCTTGAGAAGATAAGCATCTCTTTCCCCCATTCCATGAGCTTCTTTGGCCAAATCCCATAAATTCATCTAATGGAAGTGACACGAAGTCGCATTCCTCCTGTTCAAAAGTCAAGAGAACTCGATGATGACCTTCTTCGCCTCATTCAATGCTTCTTCGCTAGTTCTCCACCAGTCAACAACGACGCACAATGGGAGCTTGCTCGATATATGTGACAGTCCCATTTCGCGTGCTTCTTCGGCCATATCCCGTAAATCCACCAGATCCCGATCAACATCAGGTAAATTTTAGCTTGACAGGACCCGATCTTAACACGTTTATTAAATAGGTGAAACTTATGGACCCAAACCTGAAAGTTCCAAGTCGGATTAACAAGTCAAGTAAATTTTTGACACCCCTACCTTAAAGAATATACTGTTGTGATCAAAATTTTAGTTAAAATTCTCATTAACACTAAAAAAATAATTATAAACATGTAGTTCATTATATATTTTGCGAATTATTATTTTTTTATTTTCTAATCTTCAAAATGCCTTATTAATAGCTCATTCAACAAATATTTTTGAAGATCTCTTACACAATGTTTTTTACTTTTTTAAGCTGTACTATTTATTTTTTTATTTTGAAATGATACTAGAATATATTGATGCAGAAGAAATTTTAACTCTTAAATTAACGTTAAAATTAGTATTGTATATTATATTTTAAATTGTATTAATTTTAATGTAAATTAAATATTTTAAACTTCATTCAGATAAAAATGTTTATACAAGTTATTTACGGATTAACCAATTTAATAGCCATTCTAACCGTCCAATTTGTGGTTCCATTCATATATCTGTAGTGCGACCACGATTTCCTTTGCCGAGGAGCTCCGTACTCTCGCTACGAAAATGTTCTCCTTACTCTCTCTCGGTCTCGGACTGGACGAAAACAAGCTGGAAGCCGAGCTCGGCGGCAAAGACGACCTCCTCCTCCAGCTCAAAATCAACTACTACCCACGCTGCCCACAGCCGGAGCTAGCCCTCGGCGTCGAAGCCCATACCGACGTGAGCGCCCTCTCCTTCATCCTCCACAACGGGGTCCCCGGCCTCCAGGTCTTCAAGAAGGGCTTCGGCTGGGTCACAGCTCCCCTCGTCCCTAACTCCATCATCGTCCACGTCGGCGACGCGCTCGAGATCATCACTAATGGGAGGTACCACAGCGTCCTTCACCGCGGGCTTGTTAATAAAGAAAACATTCGGATTTCTTGGGCTGTTTTCTGCGAGCCGCCAAGGGAGAAGGTTGTGCTTCGGCCTCTTCCGGAGCTGGTTGGAGAGGGGGAGGTGGCGAGGTTTGAACCGCGGACGTTTGCGGAGCATTTGGAGAGGAAGTTGTTCAAGGCAAGAGTGACAGGAAGCGGAGACAAGGCGGTTGTGTAGTAAGTAGTAGCAGAGAAAGAAGTCGGCGCTGCGCGCTGCTGTGGTTGGAATAAAATTTAGATTAAAATATTCCGATTCGAATTATGTATGAACGGGTTTATTTTTTGTTTGTTGGGTTTATTTTATGATGAGTATGATACAATAATTAATTTATTTCGTATGACTGTTTTTTTCTTAAAATTGATCTAATGAATAATAAAATAATAATTATCTAATTTTTATGGGAATATGAACAATTTTCCTTGTGAAGGGATGGGATTTGGCTTGGAATATCCCTAGCATTTGCATATATATATATATATATATATATATATATATATACTAGTTTTATTGCACGTGCATTAAATGCATGTGAGTAAAAAATAAAAAATAAAAATTTATATTATGAATATTTTAATTATATTATCATTCTTTAAAGAGAAAAAATATTATGTTTATAAATGAAGAAAATAAATATAAAAAACGGGGACAGTTATTACTGATGGAACTGACTTTATATAAAATTTTAAACAAAGCTAATTATTAAGTTGAAGCTGATTTAGCTTGTTCTCATACTTAATTTTTATGTTTTCCAAAATAGCATCGAATTTATATAAAACATCTGAATGAATTTAAACATAGTGTATAAATCAAAATAGAAAAATATTACATATTTTTGGTATAAAACTAAACCTCTCAAATAACAAATGTTCAATTTCTTGACAAGTGCATACTATAACATCACTTGAAAATTTTGCAAGATTCTAACCTTAGTGAAGTATATTAGGACAGAAGAATTGATCTTAATTATTTATTAAAAAATTTTACCAAAAATATTAAAATAATGTATTTGAACATTTCCGAAAAGCATGTATAATACATCCAAAATTTTAAATGTTGAACATCACGTTTAGCTGGTGTTATATTACTTAAAATAAAAAATCTTTATAACATATAAAAAAAGAGGGATAATTATTACCAAGAAAGAGTGGCCATTAGATCCTCATGAGCAATTTTTAATTTTAGTCATTTAAGATGGAAGAAAGAAGTATTTCAAAAAATATTAAATCAACAATAATATGTACCTACATTAATTTTTTTTATATAACGTAGGACAAGATCGACCGTTCTGCAGCACTTACTAAATAATGTTTAGATGTAAAAGAAAGTAGATACTTAATTTTATGCATCCAAATGAACCTCTATTTAATTAACAGGGCGGAGAAAGTGATATCAAGAAATTGAAATATAGCAATTAAGCATAATTCCTTTTCAATCACATTTATATCAAGGTTAGGTATGAACATAACATAGCACCAGTAGATATGATAGAAGGTGAGAAAGGAAAGTTTTAAAACTCATCTGAAGCTTTTCCTTTCATGGGTTTCTAATTGAATTGTAGCAATTAGGTGTTTGTACATTAGCACCTTGGTTATAACATCCAACATTGGCATTCAGTACATTTGAATGCATAAAATGCATATGAATAAAATTTTAAATTACAAGATTAATAATTTAAAATTATAAATAACAATAATTTATTTAAAAATTGTTGCTTATAAATAAACATTGAAATAAGCAAACTTGTTAATTTATAATGAAAATTAGCAGCATGTACAGATGAAAAAAAAAAATCTTGCACTTTATGATTAGCTAATATATCTACTTGTAACATAGACCTCAATTGTCTGCAATGTTGCCTCTGGATTCATATACTACTTATCCTTCAAAAAAAATGAACCATCAGACATTATAGGTCGGCACTTCATACTGCACTTCAATGTGCCCTTTTTGACTCTCCTGTTAAGCCAGTGCTCTTCAATAGCTCCAAAACTCCCGACAGCAAAAAATCTTCACTATCATGGTCCTCAAATCTTACACTTCCTGACATCCTCTGGACTCACTATCATGATCCTCAAATCATATACTACTTACCCTTCAAAAAGAATGATCCATCAGTCATTACAAGTTTCCACTTCATACTCCACTTCATTGTGCCCTTTTTGGGCTCTCTTGTTAAGACAGTGCTCGATCTTCAATAGCTCCAAAACTCCCGACAACAAAAAATTTTCACTATCATGGTCCTCAAATCTTACACTTCTTGACATCCTCTGGACTCACTATCATGATCCTCAAATCATATACTACTTACCCTTCAAAAAGAATAATCCATCAGGTATTACAGGTTGGCACTTCATACTCCACTTCATTGTGCTCTTTTTGGGCTCTCCTGTTAAGCCAGTGCTCTTCAATAGCTCCAAAACTCCCGACAGCAAAAAAATTTCACTATCATGGTCCTCAAATATTACACTTCTTGACATACTTTTTGCAATGAGCCTGCAAAAGAAATCAAGAAAATTGTCTTTATACATTTTCAATCTTCATTAATTTCTTTTCAATGTTAAGTTTTCATAAGATGCTGAATCTATTTTGCATGAATTGAATGAGTTGCAAATACCTTACTCTTTAGTGTCTCACTCACATTAAATTATATGTATGAAAATGTGTGTTTCAAAAAGTAGCTTTCACACAAGCAAGAAACAAACTGAAATTTTGTTTTCTTCTTTAAAAAATTATTAATTAAGTTATTTAAAAAATTGAAAATTTTAATAACAACTTAAAGTTTCAAGAAGAAAAAATATAACGTAATTAAACTATCAACAACATTATTATTCAATAAATAGCTCAATTTTTAGACCATCAAAAAATTTATTTTAATGAGTATACAGTACAAACAAAATTGTTAGGAAATGAACTAAATGTTTGCTTTTAACTATATGGTCAAATGGTGAATTTTAAGCCAGATTAATCTTTCACGTATAAGAACAATAAGTTCATAAACGTTATTTACCAAATCTTCAACACAAAGCAGAAGGAAGAATCCATCTGTACGACCAGAAAAAAGGATTTGGGGCATATAAAAGCCCAAAAGCTCGTCTACTTTAAATAAAATAAAGAGGAGATATTGATGACAGTAACACCGAATGAAAGGAAGAATCATAGAACTATACATAGTTATTTACATTTTTTTTTAGGATTTTTTTTTGGGTAGTTATTTACATCTCAAGAACACAAAAAAAAAAACACAAATGCATTGGAAACAAGTGAGATATAACTTTTAGTGGGATTTAATAAATCCGGTAAATATGGATTTAGTAAATCTTGAGGGTCTTAAATCGTGAAAACTATTCGGTATGACAAATATTAAATCCTTTTAAATCCTAAAAAATTATTTGGAAATTTATTTAAAGATTTATGCAAGTTAGGAATTTAAATGTGAAGAAGATAATTATAAATAAAAAAGTCTAATGAGTTATTAGTTTACAACATGTTAAGTAGAAGTTGCTCATTAATTATTATTTACTATTATATATTTAATAATATATATTTTAAATTATATTAATTCAGCATATTAAATAAAAGTTAATTACTATTTACATTATTAATTATTTAATTAATTTAGTTAATTATTTATATTTTAATTATATAATTAAGTTAATCAATAATAACTTATAGGCGTCTAGCTAGGTTTGCCTTCATCTTCTATTTTTGTCGTTGTTGTTCAAATTCGTTGCTTCGCAGGTGTAGAGATTGTACGCTTCGCTTCGTCGCGTGAATGTTCAACTTCACTCCCTCGACAACTTTCCCGTCCTGTCTGATTGAATATTACGACATTTTGATCGGAAGCAACAACGGGAGCTCGCTAGCTGTGTAAGTAACTTTCTACCTTTCATGCGCTTCTTCGGCCAAATCCCATAAATTTGCCAAACCGAGGGATTTAGTAAATCCGGGATTTAAGCCGTAAATCCTTAAATAAGGGATTTACCCATCGCCAGAATTTAACGCGCGCAGAAAAATCATTTGGCTGGATTTAGCGCCGACTTAATCCCTCTGTAAACACTACAGGAAAAATGCCTAATACCGGCGGTTCTAACCGGCGGTTTATGGACCGCCAGTTATACCGGCGGCATAGCCGGCGGTCTGGCCGTCGGCTTTTAACGACGGCCTCACTGGTGATTTTGCTACGTTAAGCTGCCGGTAATAGCGGCGGTCCCTAAACCGACGGTAAACTGCCGGATATCAACAAGAACCGGCGATTTACCGGCGGTTGGGACCTCCGTTGATAAGTGACTTTTTACCGACGGTCCGAACCGTCGGAAAACTGCCGGTAGAAGCCCTATTACGACCAGCCCGGCGCCTGGCATTTCATTTTAACTCTTTCCTTCTCTCTCTCGGTCACTCGCTCTCCCGTCGCTCGCTCTTTCCTAGGCTTGCCTCCGCTCGTCCGACCACCGCCGACAAAGTTTGTCCGCCCCAAATCCGACCGCTGCCCCCAATTCAAATCGCCTCCGCTCGTCCGACCCCAAACCTTCCGATTTCTATTTTAAGGTTATATTTTATGGTTTTTCTTTGATTATTTGTTCTTATGACCCTACTTCCTATTGACTAAGTCATGATGTAGGGAACACCCACACAAGAATATGAGTTGATCGAGATGATTAACATGGACCACAGTCAACTTTCACTATGATTCGCTGAATACATTCATTGGGAAGCATTTATGATTTAGTGTTGATATGGTGACTCATATACTACTAGTCTATCATGGACAACCCCACCACCGGCAGTGTCATCTGCACCGCCCTGAACTCTCACCCCCGTCGCTCCCCCCCGCCAAATGAGCTTTACTGAAGTAAAAGAGGTTATTTGAATTTTTTATTTTGAATATTACAGATTGATTTCATATACCTAAACTAAACATGCTTGCACTTTACTGCCGAATAGTACATATTAGTTACGACTGATACTAGCTTATAAAACATTCGAAAGTCTTTCTCTCGTTAATCAGGAGGGGGTAATTAACAATAGCGGCTTGCACCTATAGAACAACTTGACACGATAATAAAGTCCTCCGAAAATTAGAGTTTACAAATCTCTGGTGTAAACTTATCTATTCAAAAACCCATTCTTGTCGTTACTAAAAAATTTCTTTGGAACTTCACTCTGTATAAACAACTCGCGAGAGAGAAGAACAAAGAGGATGCGGCAGAGCGCCGCGGCGTTACATTTGCCCCACAACCGTCTGATTGATTCTTCTATGAATTTTAAGGTAATTCATTCAACAACAACTCATATTTCATAAAAATAAAGATAGAAAACAAGAATTTTAATATAACAGAG